GTGTGTGTGTGTGTGTGGGGGGGGGTCGCCCGCTGTGACATCATCTCGGTACGAGTTGTTAGTTTTGCTGCAGCCACTCGCACTCGGGGTCCCCCGAGCGTCTTTTGCTGGAGCGCTACCGGCTTCACGGTTTGCAAGTTACTGTACCAAATAACTAAACCAGAGAACTGTATTTAAGCGGTGAATGTGCTTTGACACAAATACTAAATAGAACCATGGTTACTACCTGGCCCTAGCAGAATCCCTTCTCCTTGACCATCATGATGCTATTTCTACCTCACCATTATTCTTAATAATCAATATTAATTTTCACTGCATTCTCCATGGTTTAGATTTATTTTCTTGTTTAGAATAAGGTCCCAATATTAACTGCTTATTGGTAGCATTACCACCATCATCATCATTACTATTTGTATTACCATGGATTCTTTAATAAAAACATCTCATATAGATAACCATGTCTCCCTCACTAGCAGCTTGTTTTGCTCACAGACTTTTCTCTGTTTCACCCTCACTTTGTAGGTTTTACAAACGTTTTACAGTTTATGAAGCACTTAGCAACCCCCAACCAAGAACAGAGCGGGAGGGAGAAGGGGGAATGCGGGGTGCTCAGAGGAGGGGGCAGAGTTGGGGTGGGGACTTTGGGGAAGGGGTTGGAATGGGGGTGGGGAGGGGGCGGAGGCAGGGATGGGGAAGAGGTGGAGTTGGGGCGGGGCCAGAGCCCCCGTGGAGTGTCCTCTTTTTTCAGTGTTGAAATATGGTAACCCTAAATAAAAGTAAGTTTCTTGCCCTCACAGTTGCAGAGAAAAGTTTGAAAACAGGGCTCAAGTGCCCCCCAAATCAGAAGGGCAAGTTGCCTGCATAACAGCTGGTGAACGGAGACACTTGTTCTCAGGGGTATAGGTCTGAGACACCCCCCTTGAGGGCATGGCTGTCCCAGGCATCCAAATAGCTCACCTGGGAGAGAATCTGCCTTGTAATCTGAGGGGTTTAGTCAGTGTATCCTATGGGGGTCCAGGAAGTGGGTGGGTACAAGGTCTAGTCAGTGTGTGGGTGGCCATGGTATTGAATGAGGCCTTTTTCTTTCTTGTTCTGAGTGATTGGGTTATTGAAAAATTGGAGTGGGTTCAGAGAACACTAGTCACAAATGCAATTTGCCAGCTGGAAAAAGTGCCGGATAGCAAGAGACTTACAGAGTTTGGTTAGTTTAGCTTATCAAAAAGGAGATCAAGAAGTGGCTCAATTACATTGCACAAGTACATTAATCGGGAGAAAAGATTGGCTATTAAAGGGCTCTTTAATCGAGTGGAGAAAGGTGGAACAAGATCCAGTGGTTGGAAGTTGGAGCCAGCCAAATCCATGGGTGGCACATATAATAACCTGGGAAGGCTATACCTCCGCAAACAGCCCCGCATGGTCCTGCCCACGCTCCGCCCCAAGACCCCCTCCTGTTGCTGCTAGTTGGCCCCAGCCCAGGCAAGCCGGCTGCTCCTCTTCCAGGAAGCCTGCTAGGCTCGGGCTGGGGCTAGGGTGGCCAGATGTCCCGCTTTTATAGGGACAGTTCTGATTTTGGGGTTTTTTTTTTAATACAGGCTCCTATTACCCCCCACCCCCCTGTCCCAATTTTTCACATTTGCTGTCTGGTCACCCTAGCTGGGGCGGCTAGGACTTTAGGTGGCTGGGGCTGTGCCACCCAGCGCTCCAAGGCTGGGCGGGGGAGGGAGGACTGCCCGATGCCTGCCCAGTGGTTTGGTGCTGGGAGGGGAGGGGGACAGCCCACACACCCAGTGCTCTGGAGGCAGCCTGCCTGGTGCTCCGTGTGTGTGCGCACGCCCTGATGCTTTAGGGCTGGTGGTGCTTGGGCAACCCAGGATTGGGGGGTGGGGGGGCTGGCAGCCAGGGGGCCTCAGGCTGAAGGGGTGGGCCAGACCAGTGTCTAGCCTCCCCAAACCCGTGGTTCACCCACCATCCATGGCAAGGTAGACATAAGGCACACATTTTTAACAGGGTGGGTGATTAACCCTTGGAACAGACTACCAGTGGAAGTGGTGGATTCTCGGTCAGGCTATGTCTACACTAGAAACACTACAGCTGCAGTGCTGCCCTGTAGTGCTGACACTTACTACAGCAACGGAAGGGGTACTTCTGTTGCTGTGGTAAATCCTCTGCTCCGAGATGTGGTAGCTAGGACGATGGAAGAGTTCTTCCAGTGAGCTCATGGCATCTACACTGGGAGATAGGTTGGATTAACTACGTCTCTCAGGAGGGTGAATTTTTCACAGCCCTGAGGGATACACCTAGGTCAACCTACTTTCTAGAGTTGAAGCCTGCAGGTGGCCTGTCTGGAAGATGCTTTACTCAGACACAAGTTATTGGGCTCAATGCAGAGGTAACAAGGTGGCATTCTCTGGTCTGTGCTATGCTGGAGGTCATACTGGTTGATCTAAGGGTCCCTTCTGGCCTTAAAATCCATGAACCTATGAAAAAACCCTAAAGTGTATTTTTTGAAAAATCTCATGATTTTTGCAGCAAGCTCATGATTTTGCCTATTTGTGGTTGGGGCTCTCCATCTTATCTCCCTTGCTCTTTCTACTCTTCTCACTGCCTAGAGTATCGCCAGCCCTGAGCATTCAAAAATCATGAGGCCCCCCCAAACTCATGAGCTTCCCTTAAAAATCATGAGATTTTAAAAATAACAAATTTGTGGCTATTTTAAAATGCTTTTCTGGCTTTTGAATCTGCAGAGGTCATGCTTTCAAGGTTCTCTCTCTCTACAACCATTATTATTATTATTATTATTAATTTGTATTACTGAAATGCTTAAGAGCTCCAGTCATGGAACAGGACCCCATTGGGCTAGGCACCATACAAACATAAAACAAAAAGATGAGAGCTAGAACCCCCCCCCCTTTTTTTTTTAAAGGAAAGCTGATGTTCTGGTATGTTCACATAACTCCAGGAGCTGGAGTTGGTAACTGTCTGCTTCTTCCCTACTTCCCTGTTGTGTTGTGAACCCAGGTGGGGGGGTGGAGCATCGGTGGAGGGATGGAAAACTCATTCAAAGATGCTTTATCTTTGCAGCAGGCAAGGTGTGTAGAGAAACTGCAGTTTCCCAGTGATTGGGGAATTGAGAACGGGGCCCTGAGCCTGCTGCAGCAAGCAGCTGCCAAACAAGCCTCCCCTACAGCTCTGCTAGTACCCTTAACTCTGACCTACAACACATGCTGCTAGTCTGGTCTTCTGGTCCCATTGCTTTGCACCCCCTTGCCCTGTATGTCAGTCTCTGGCTTGCAATTTTAACTGCCCCTGCTCGGGCCCACACTGAGATTTAAACTCCATGATCTTCAGAGCAAAAACCAGGAGTTTCTGAGCTAAAGGACTAACCATTTCTAGGGAGTGGCTGTGGCACACTCATTAACATCCATGTGAATCAGCCACTAGAGAGCAACAGATCCCCACTCTCCCCTCATGCAGGTGACATCATCATCTCTGTACAGGTGTAGTCCTGGCCCCTAGTCACTCTGGTGCTTTGTCCCATCACCAGTCCCATAAGGGATATGAGCGGAGACCTAACTTTACATGTCATAACTTTGAAAGGATCAGGCCTGCTCAATGCTGAGTAGGGGGATCTGTGGGCAAAACCCAGGAGGTACAGAAAACAGTGGTGTTAATTCACTAGGAGTCACTCTGTTCTCTCTGAGTCAGTGTTGAAACAGGGCTATGGCATGGTGCAAGGGGCTTACGGAGGTGCCATTGTTCTGATGAGGTGTGGAACTGAGGCCCATGATTATTAATCTTATTTTAAAAGAGCTATAAAATCATTAAGGGGGTTAATCCTGGTGGCCTTGGCAGAGTCCACATTAGGAGTGAAACTAGTCAAAAAGCAGAGAGGCCTCATATCAGGCCTTGAAGAAACCTAACCTGGCCAAGTATGGAGCTCCACAGAACGAGACAGGCCTCAGCCTGAGCTATGTGAAACCTGAGGATGGGAAGCAAGGACAGCTCCATAGGCTTAGGCCTCTTGAGCTTCTCTTGGCTGGTGTTTTTCTTAGGATCCCTCTGTCTTTTTCTCATGGCACTGCTAACCCTCAGCCCAAGTCTCCCTACTTCAGCAGGAGAAACATTTTATTTGGCCATTTTTCTATCACATTCAGCACTTTTCCCCTACAGCAGTTTCATCCTCTCCTCCAACTCTCTCCTGTCTAGTGTGTCTGCCCTGATTCAAAGCCCCCTGAAGTCAATGGAAGGATTCCCATGGACTTTGAAGCAGACCTTTTCTGTCAGGGGATAATCATCCCTTACCCTCAGTGTCTGGAAGAAACCCCAGGCAATGACATTTTATACATATTCAGAATTGGCCTTTCAGTATGCTACTGAGGCCTCCCTTCTTCTTCACCCTGCCTTTAGAATTGGGGATGGCCAGGGTTTTAATAGGCAGCAATAGCAAAAAATACAGAACTTGCACTCTTGTGTCTGAAACTTGTTCTTCTGCTGCCACCCTATCATTTTGGCTCCAGGCTAGTTCGGTTAGCTAAGACTTCCCCCTCCATCACTGCAGTCCTGGAAAGCACACTGCCCTCAAAAGTCACTGCCTTATTGTAAGTCACCCAGTATTGGCCCCCAGCTTTGCATCATTTAAATAAGCCATGGGGTTGTTGAGGAAACAGCTTATTGCTATTGTTCTATCCTGGCACAGATCAGTGCTGGCAAGCCTGATGCAAAAATTGTAGCTTACCCCACTCCCTTTGGCTTGTCTCTAGTACCCTAAGGCAGTCATTCATCTTACTTCTGTGCCAAGATGATACCAAGTCTTTCATGGGCAAGATGTGACAATGCAATCAATGTAGACAGTCATTTAGCTGGTAGGAAGAAAGGCACAGGCACCCATCCAGTTGCATGCAACTTGTATCCCCACCGTTGCGTTATTCCTTATAGGTGGCTGTCTGCTGCCATGGTTGAGCTTTCAGGGAACCCCCTCTCTCTTCTGTCATAGACTTTAAGTCCAGAAGGGAGCATCATGGTCATCTAGTCTGACCTCCTGCACATCACAAGCTACAAAACTTCACCCAGCCACTCCTGCAATAGACCCATAAGCTCTGGCTGAGTTACTGAAGTCCTCAAATCATGATTTAAAGACAAAGTTACAGAGAATCCACCATTTACATTAGTTTAAGCCTGCAAGTGACCCCTGCTCTATGCTGGAGAGGAAGGCAAACCCTTCCTCCTCCCCACACCACCACTCTCCCCAGGGTCTCTGACAATCTGATCTGGGGGAAATTCCTTCCCAACCCCACATATGGTGATCAGTTAGACCCTGAACATGTAGGAAAGGCCCACCAGCTAGATACTTAGGGAAAGAATTCTCTGTAGTAACTCAGAGCCCTCCCCATCTAGTGTCCTATCACTAGGCATTGGAGATATTCACTGTTAGCAGTCACAGATCAGCTGCACGCCATTGTAGGCAGTCTCATCATACCATCCCCTCCATAGTCAGATCAAGCTCAGTCTTGAAGTCGGTGAGGTTTTTTGCCCCCCACACTTCCCTTTGAAAGGCTGCTTCAGAACCTCACTCCTCTGATGGTTAGAAACCTTTGTCTAATCTAAAGCCTAAACTTGTTTATGGCAAGTTTATATCCATTTGTCCACAGTAGTGCTCAACTTAATTCCTACCTCATATTTATCCCTCTGATGCATTTGGAGAGAGCAATCATATCTCCTCTCAGCTTTCTTTTAGTTAGGCTAAACAAAAGTCTCACAGTCTCCTCTCATAAGTGAGGTTATCCATTCCTCTGGACATCCTAGTAGCCCTTCTCTGTATCTGGTCCAGTTTGAATTCATCTTACACATGGGAGACTAGAACTGCACACAGTATTCCAGCTGAGGTCTCGTTAGTACTATTATACAAGGCACTAGTACTTCCCTGTCTTTAGTGGAAAACCTCACCTGAGCATCCCATGACTGGGTTAGCCTTGTTCCCAGCTGCATCACAGTAAAACCTCAGTCATCCTGTGATCAACCAATACACCCAAGTCTTTCTCCTCCTGTTGCTTTTAGCTGACAAGCGGCCAGATTTTAGCAAAAATTCTCATTGTTAGTCCCTAAGTATATGACCTAAGCACACAAGCAAGAGGTCCTTACAACTACAACATGATCTTTATATACTTTGAGATTTTAGCAAATGACAAATTCATTGCCTTGTGCCTATAAACCACCAGGCTCCAATTTGTTATTGTGACAAACCATCATGTGATGGGTTTTTTTAAATAGAGCATAACAAAATCATGATCCCTGCTGCAACCCTCTTACAGTTCAAGACCCTGACCTTGCACCACTCCATTTTGGGATGCAGGAGTACACAGGTGCACCTAGTCAGGCAGAGCAGGGATTCAAACCTGTGTCTCCTACATCTCAGGCGAGTGCTCATGCATTTCTAGGGTACACATGCCTTCCTGCTTTTCCATTAAGTGTTTTGAGGCATTGGTTTTGCCTATTGCAGAATGAACACAAAAAAATCCAAAACCTTGACATTTAATGAACAGTTTTTGTTGGTTGGCCAGCCCTCAGCATGTACTTAACTCCATGCATGTATGAAGTCCCCATGAAGTCATTAACACATACACATTAAGTGTCTGCAGGATTGGTTCCCACAATAGGCTACCTGACAAGATGGTAGTAGATGAGTTAGAACAGTTACACCATGTTATAGTGACAGGCCCTGGGGGGGTTCTACAGTAGGTGGAGGGTGTTGACATGGTAGGAGCAGTGGGAGAGAAGATTTTAAGCTGTTGGAAGGGGATTTGGAGAGGAGCTGGAGGGCTGTAGTTTCTTTAAGTGAGAGATAGAAGGATACTAGTGAAAATGGAGAAGGGTAGATTGCAGTGTAGACAGTCTCAGTCAGAGGTGAATGTGTAGATGTATCTGAGGCAGTTTTGGCCTTACCAGATCAAGCTATAGTACAACAGCAGCACAGGCTACCCACTGGAGTACTAGCTGAAGTCCCTGGTAGTCTTGTACAGTCCATAATTCCACTACTGTTTCAACGAGCTAGATGAAAGCTAGCACACAGACATAAATGAGCACTACAGCCACACTTTGGATTGCCCCATAGATATAGCTTAAGTGTCTAGAAGCAGAAGATACAAGTTATGGGGAGATCCCAGCTGTAAGGCAGGATGCTTAAGGTCTTGAAGCATCAGGTTTCCCAGTCATTCACAATGGGGAAGTTTTCACCACCTCCTGTAAGCTAGTGACTGGCCACAGTCTCCCCAAGAAACAAGACACTAGAGTTTCTAGTTACCAGACTTAGGTTAGTCCTCTGGCTCACATTGGCTTCAGGTTAGGTTGGCAAGCACCAGTAGTTCTTACTGTGTGCCCAGCTGAGTTAGAATCCAGCTATTCACAGTAAAATTAACCAAAAAAATTCTCCAGGTGGGCTGAGTGGCCTTCCCCCTCCCCCCCCTCCCCCCCAGGAAACAAGAGAAAACCATTTGATTTACCTTGTCTAGTGCTAGCTTGCAGTCTTCTTCCTGCCCTCTATGCCACATCCTATTCTGGATTCTATCCCGGCAGAGGTCTGTTCTGCTGCTGAATGGGGAAAGCTACAAGGCCAGTAGTAGACCCCTGGCCTCAGCAACTGCTGTTCCCTCCCCCAGAGGGGCACATGCTATCAAGACATTAGTGCAATCCAGAGATTTTATTTTTTCTCCTTATTTTACAATGATCTGCCATGGAATATTTGGGACCTTGTCATCCAGCTGCTTCTCCTACGGAAGAGTGTCACAGTAATGAGGGAAACTACAACCACCAGTGAGAGCATGGCCAGAAGCACCAGGGTCAGGTCCAGTCTGGAGACAGGGTCTGTAGGAGAAGAGGTTAAAACAATCCAGATTTTTGTAGGGTCTGAAGTGTGGCGATGACACCTAGACTTCCCTGTCCCAGTAGTTCTCCCCCTACCTGTTAAGTATCTTTCTGATGAAGGCTGACCTGATTTGTCAACTCACTTTTTACAGATTGTAAATCACCATCCCATTGATAGCCATCCAATAGGAGGGCAGAGGCAATGCTAGCCCCAGTGCATTGAGTGCCAAGGAGGCTTGGGGCATACAAGTCACCATCAAGGTGCTAGTGCTCCTTAAGTGCTCTTGTTTTTAAGACATCCTAAATGTTGGGTTATTTCCTTATTCTTTGGACATTTGCTCACCTCATGAGAAGCACTCAGGTATGGTTTCAGACAACATTAGCTTACATTATGGATAGTCAAGGAGCGACTTCTGTATGTAGCCCCATGAATGTTTAACATTTAGATTAGCACCCCCTAGATAGCATTGACTTGCTGTATTCTGACTTGCTGTGCAAGATGTCAGTTCTGTAAAACCCTAGTAGGACAGAACTCACCCATGTTCTCATAGACTTGTTCTCTCCATGGCTCAGGGCTCTCCTGAAAGATCATGGGGCCAGGAGAACACACCAGGTCCTGGGGCTCTCCTGTCCCATTGTCGATATCCAGGAACCGGCGGCCTCCTGGGAGATGGAATGGAGAGTTAGGGAGCTATCTGTCCAGGGCCCTCTGGTTGTAAGAGTGCATCATGTGAGACAATGCAGTGTCACCATGGACTCAACCATGAGCCCTTACAGGCCTCCTGACAGGTTGTGGTACCAGGTATTAGATCATGAATTGCTTATTTGAAGTGTGGGAGAAGATGGGAAGAAAGGCCATTTCCTCAGGAGTATGAGACATTAGAAATTGCCTCTGGAGAGCTCAGTGGAGCATGGCCTAATCTCCTACAACTGCCCTTTAACCTCTTCATGTTAGCCCATCATACCCTAGCTACATGTACCTCACTACCTACAGTACATGGTAGAGGTACATAGGAAGCTGGGCTGAACTCATTGCAGTAAGTATATAGCAGGACAGGCAGAGGTCTGTTCACCATGAGTCCTCTGGTATTTGGGATGGGAGCTTGTAGAAACCGACATGGATCTCAGACCACTGGTACACAGATGAAGCCACTCAGACTTACTTGTAGCAGCACCTGATGGGCACATGGTCCTGCAGGGCTCCAGCCGGGAGGGGTAGCAAGTGGAGGCGCTACAGTAAATGTACACCTAAAATCCACACAAGGGAGAATTGAGTTAGTGAGTGATTGCCAGTGCTGCTAGGAGCCAGGAAATAAATCCAGAGCTATCAGTTTGGTTGCATATATGCAGCACCTCAGAGACAATTTGCAGGTCAGTACCAACTAAAATAGGAAGCTCCTGCCCTCCGACTTCCCCCTCCTCACCCCCTTTATATGCAGACCCCTTCTCACCTGTCCATCAAGCACCACCTGGGAGGCAGAGTCCACAAAGGCAAAGGTGGAGAGGACAAAGCGCTGGTGATGGGTTGGGAAGGGCAGCTCAGATGAGGCAGGGACCATGGGCACAAGCTGGGTTCTGTAGTTGTCTCCCAGGAATGGGCACCTGGGAACAAGACACGAGAGAATGATGGACCAAGAAAACTCCCTTCTTCCCCAAGCCATGCTCCCCCTCCATCCCCAGCCACTCACCCGTCCACCAGGATGGGCCACTGTGGCTGTTGCAGGGGGCTAGCACTTGGGGTGGCCCAACATTGGTGCAGAACCAGAACCAGGGATGGGTCTGTTCTCTGCAGGATGCGAACCTCCACGAAGACAGGGTCCCTGAGCACCTTCACCACAGGGTAGTCTCTCTCCGTGAGGTAGGATGTGTAGCTCACATCTGTGGGGAGAGGGCAGGAGGAGAGCAGAGCTGAGATGCCTGTGGCCCTTCAGAGGATGGGATCTCTGTGCTGGAGTGAGGGGTCACCTACCTGTGGCGATGCGCAGCTCAAGCCGGAGGGGTCCTGCCTGGGTGACTGGAGCAGGTGTGGGGGGCAAGAAGACTTCCACCTGGACTGGCAGGAAGTCACTGGCATTGTAGATGCAGCGAGCATGGAGGCTGCACAGGAGAGAGCAGAGGGAGGAGACAAGGGCTGATGCTCTGAATTCAGATTGAGGCCATACTGCTTCTGGCAGTGATGTTATTAGCATTTGGGACAAGCAGGGTCAGGCCCTATCAGTACTTGGACGCACTGGCATCCTTGGATGTCTCCCATCAACCCTTCTAGCAACTCAGATGTTCTTCCCTACAACTTGAACTCTGCAGGAGTGCCTGAGCATGGCCACATGGGGGAGGGAGGGGGAGAGAGAAGAGAAGAGGCCTTCTCAGACAGGTTAGAAGCACCTGCTCATTTGTAGTCACTCTCCTGGCAGCACTCAATTTTGCCACCAACTGTTATCCAAGCTTTCT